TATCTCAAAATTTTATCGAGCTAAATTTCGTTGACTAAGTAGATGACATAACTGTCATTATTTGGGAGGAATGTGGATTAATATGAATTCTTATATACTGTTGTTGGCAGTGTAAATTGGTAGAAACTTTCTAGAGGGGAACCTAGCAATATATTTCAAAATCTCAAAATATATATACACTTTTCACCCAAAAATTCCCACTTTCAGGAATTTACCTAAAGAAAATAAGTGGATAAAATACATGAATATGTATATAAAGGAATATTCGCTGCTGTATCAATTATAATAATAGAAATTAGAAATAGCTCAAATACCCAGCCATGAGGAATTTTGTCAATAACTATGACATATACATGCTGTTGAATACTATGCAGTCATTAAAAGTAACTGTATATTTTATTGACATTGGAAGATGTTCACGATATATTGGTTAAGTGATAAATGAGATTACAAAACACCATGCACAGTGTGATCCCTTTTTTTGCAAAAATATTTATGTGTATATATGTGTATGTGTATAAAACATTATATGTCTGTATTTATCGACCTACCTACCTATCAATTCCAGGAGGGAATACACAATGGCTCCATCTGGGTGATAGAATTACAGGTTTCACTTACTTTCTTATTTATGGCTTTTTGTGTTTTCTGAAATTGCAACAATGATCATGTAATGCTTTTACAATTAGATAAAATAAAAAGGTTATGTCCATTTTTTAATGAAAGGAAAAAATATTAAGATGGCGAAAAGGGAAGAATTTCCATTTAGACCCAATATTTCATGACTCTTGAGACCTCCTTGCTGAAGTGGCAGGCTGATGATATGTTTATTTCAACTCACACTTTGAAGTAACCCCATTCTTAGAGTCTAAGACAGAGAGGCAATGCATAGAATACAATCTTACATTTTCTTTTATAATTAATATAAATTATAATACATTTATATCATGCATTAATTAATACTAGAATGGGGGAGAAAAAGAGCATTCAAGAAAAAATATTACTCCAAGGTATTCTCTGCTACTTATATCTAAATCCACAGGTTGGGGGATGAAATATTGAAATCGTAAGTTTGACCATTCAGTTTTCTTGTGTTATGCTTTTGAGTTCAGTGGGAGTTCATGAAAAAAAAAAAAAAGCATATCAAAAGAACAGGACCTGAGTGATAGTAGCTATTGAAAGGAAATGACCTAAATGCTCATACTTAAACCTGTCAAATGTGTTTAGTTTATTTCATAAACATGGATATGTAATTTTCATGCATATCATGCATATGGCTTGTTTCAAAGTTAGTGTCATAAAACCATTTAGACACTTTCAGCCCTGGGTTAATTTTGCTGCATTTAGTATTAAGGGCATGGCCAGAGATCTACAATTAAACTTTGCTATGGTTTCTCAGAATATTATAATGTTGATTATATTTCGCCAACACATGTCTTCTGCCAAAAGGAATAGACTGAGAGTGTAATTTTGGTGGGTCTGAATGGTGAGCGCATTTCATATTTTAATTTTGTAGCATTTACCACGTTTCATTACTAGAAAAATTCATGTCCTATAACTAATTAAACCATGAAGTTATTTCCCTGCTTCTGAGAAGTATGCCAGTGATATACCTTGGAACTAATATGTACTGTTTAATCAACAAAATATGCATTTTTTAACATCTTCTCAGTAGAATATTATTTGTTTGAATAAGCAGGGTTCTCAAACATAAAATGGCTTCATGGCCAGATGAGTAACGTTAGTTGTGTGATCTGGGCTATGTATAAGACATTAGGGAGTGGTGGGGCCTTTGGTGAAGGGAAACATCATGTCCTGAATAAAGTCATACAGATTTTTAAAAACACAGTGCAGGTCAAATAAAATATAACTTGGTCCTAATTCCCAAGTTCTAGTCACCCAGATAAAATGTTCTAGTAGATTAAATTTCTATTATAAACTGTAAAACTTCAAAGCACTAAGTAATCTTGAGATCTTCTAATATATAAAAATATAAAGTTGAGCAGCAGTCCAACTTTTCATAGCTGGTATCTATTTTGACTTGTCAGTGCCTCCTTCTGATTGCTTGGTCTCCTTCCCTAATTTCTAACAGTGAAAGTGGTTCGGGGATTGAATGTCTTACAGGTCACACAGGTAGTAAGGGATGGACATGGGACTTGAAATCAAGATTTCATGTACTTCCTCCCTTTCTCTACTATGGGCAGGTTAGCACTGTCCCTTACCTGCTCCGCAGGTATGATGTCTTAGTAGCAAATTAGAGGCAGTCTGTGGCTGATTCTACTTGTAAACCAGTTTGGTGTACTAGATCAAGAAGTAGGAGTTTGAAGACCTGGGTTCTAACCCTGAGTCCTTCACTCGCTGATCAAGTTGGCAAGAGGTTGGGTAATTTGACCATGGGCACATGAGGTCTCAGAAGCAAACCTTAGACTTGAACCTAGGTCTCCAGATTCCAAGTCCAATGCTCCAGCCTTTGTACCAAAGCCAAGGTTGTCTTCATTTAAACATGGTATCATGGTTTCAACCCATTTCCTAACAGGTCCTTTTAATATTTTAATATAGAGTGCCTTAATAGGGCTGACAAAAAGGCTTTTTTTCCCTACCATCTCTTTTCTTCTTGATAGATTGCATGCAAGCCAGTATGAGACTAACTGTGCTTTGCTATGCTTGTGGCGACACAGTGCTGCGGATGCCGCTGGCGCCTCAGCCATTAATGCATTTCTACATGCCAACATTGTAATAAACTGCACTTCATTACCAAGTTTGGAAAAAACAAGCATGCTTTTGTATTGGCGTTTGTTATTTGTATTCTGTGGTTAAGAATTGTGTGTGATGCCTGCAAAGATGTATAGTTCATATTCACTGAAGGGAGTTATGTGTGGTTTTTTTCCCCCCACTAATATATTTGTGTGTGTGTGTGTGTGTGTGTGTGTGAGAACCAGCTGCTATTTGAAGAAATAAGTTCCAGGAAAAAAAGGAATGACTGCAATAGACATGGGCAAAGGTCTAAAAGTGTGGGAGCCCTATCTGGCGAGGAGACATTGGCCTCTGGGGGTGGGGGGTAATACAGTGGGAATTTAAGCAGAGCTGGAAAAACTGTCCCTTTTTTGCCTGGAAAAGGATTCATGTGAGATGTTAGGAAGACAGTTTGGGATAAAAAAAAAATCCTGAGTAAATAGAATTTCAGCCAATACTTTCATGAACTTCACCCTTCTTTGGAATGTTTTCATTCTCTGGGGAGAAAACAGAGATTGAGTCATTTATACAGCGTGAGTGAGAACTTTACTAAAGAAGAAACCTCATGAGATGTTTTCCCTTCAGTGCTTTCTTAAAACCCAATTTGTGAGCTCTGCAACCTTGTCAGAGAAATGGAGAAATGTTCATTTCTAAGGAATTCATCCCCCTTACTTTCTTTGATATATAGGACTGTAAATTTTCGTCACTGTAAGGAGGATTCCCTAACATGATTATCTGATGCAAAAGCCTGATCCTCCCACTTACAGCAATGATTTTTCATGTCTGCTCTGCCTCCCCCTCCCCACCCTAACTCCCTAAATTTCACATGTATCACTCTGACTTTATAAATCTTTTTCTTTGGTTCTGCAAACTGCTAAATGTATGATATCATCCTTGGAGCCAGGGGCATGTCACCTCTTGATTCCTACACATAGGCTGTCATTTTGATCCTGGACAGCAGAAGGAGATGTTAAGCCAGAAGATATTTAAAAAAAAGAAAAAAAAAAAGTATGTAATCAATTAGTGGCACATTTCAAATAATTAGAAAGCTGAGGGCTAAAATGTTTTTTTTTTATAGTGAACATTCTCTTCTTTCAGAGGAGCCTCAACATAAAATCATTTTCATAAGTGTTTTCTACATATAATGAACCTTCAGGGAACCATTTCATTTTGATGTAAACCAAAACATTCATTTTTCTGGCCTATCTCTGACTCCCCATTTTCTCATGGGTGCTTGTGCTGTATATGCAAGTTTGGCCTGAAGTGCTAGTGGCTGACATGGGTACCCATCAGCAGGAAGCTTGGTGTGCTGAGTCCTCTGCTGCACGGTTCTCCAGTTGTGGGTGAAGCTTCTGTAGCCATATCGACTTGCACTATGCTACTTCGAAGACCGTCATCCATTTATCCTGAAGCCAAGGGCCTTGGAAAGGAAATCTGCCCCCCTTTAAAGGCATCATCTTTCCAATTTGAAGGGAACAGTACAATGCCACTTCCAAGAGTGTTATGTCACCATAAAATCATCCTCTTAAACAGCAGAGAAGGATGGGATGTGGGCAGGATTGCTCCACAGCCACTGCTAATTAGGGCATTTGGAGGATTTTCCATTTGGGAGGACCCTCTACATTTTGGCATCTGTTGTGTCTTTTCCAGAAGACTTATTCTATTGTTTGAACTGACGAGTACAATTTTCCATTAAAATACACTATTATAATGACTGTCAGTTCAGTAAATACCATCATTTGTTTTTATTGACTTTTTTTTTAAAAAAAAAATATGCTTCTCAGTGGACTCTTTTAAGCTGGATCACATTGCACTTTTTGCAAATTGACGGATTTATTTTATGTATAGATGCCCTGGAATTCCTAGATTAATTTTCTTTGGTCTTTCACGTTCCATTATTTAACAATATTGCACATCAGATCAGTGTTTCTTAAGTCTTTGAAGCTCAGACAACCTTATGTACCAAATTTATCAAGAGACTCTTATTCAAACCCAGATCAAGATGGTGATTTAGCTTTTAGGTAATCTGAAACATTCGAGATAATTGTTTTTGTTATGTTTACCCTCCTACTTCCTGGAATTTGGAAATTTGCTATGCTATCCCCATCACAAAGAATTATCCACCTAGCTTACTGAAACTGGATCTTATGCCATAGCCTGTCTGAAGAGTGATGAAGTGAATTTACCTCTGGGTCACTTCCTTGTTAGAGTTAATAGGTATGCTCTGTATACTTCGTTATGATTTGCTTTTCCTCTCCTACTTTAAGGAAAGCAAAGGAAAATTTGTTTGGACAAAGTAGAAGTTTTTCCAATGGCCATGTAGTTTGTGAAAAAAAGCAGCAGCTGGAGATGGACTCAATTGTAGAAGAAACCATAACAGGAGATTATGCCTTAATCATAAATGGTCACAGTTTGGTGAGTTCGCTTAAGGCTTTTGTTCTTTCTTCTTCTTTACCTCAATAATCATCTCTATTGTGCTGTCAAAATGACACCTCCTTTTGAGTTTTCCAAACAAATGACACTAGTAGAAATAGGGCATACACAATGATTTCCTATTTGCAAAGGGAAGGGAAACTTCTAATATATATTTCATACATTATTGTTTGAACCACCACAGTGAAGGGGAGGCTCCAAAGAAATACTGAATTCACAGACTATAAATCTTCTCTAAATGACTGTAGAATATTTAGCAGTATGATTTAAGTGTTTTTCTCATGGGGGGTATCACAGCTCACTGTTATTTGATTAAATAATGCAACTGGATGGATGTATTGTAATTATTGCTCTTGTTAATGTTGGTGATTTGCAGAGCACAGCTTGACCTTAGGATAATTACCACACCAAATTATTGCCATTAAGATACCTCTAGTGGTTTTTCTCAATAGCAGCATTTTACAGCAATGCCAAATAATTTGCTTTGATTAGAAAATCTGGTTCTTGTCATAATAGAATATACTTGTATTGCACTTTTAATGTAGTTCAGGTTCCAAATCTTGAACAAATATCAAAACACTCCTTTGAGTTTCTAATTTGAAAGAGAAAAGCTCCTATTGCACTTCACTGAAATTATCATTTATATGCACAAAGAGCTAATCTTGAATCTTTCTCTGGCTTTAATGATCATTTTTCACTTTCAGAGTCTGGAAAATAAGTGTATCTTCTTGTAGACAATTTCTTCGAGGACAAAAGAAGTTGGATATGAGTATATTGTATTTCCCCTTGTGATCAGCTGTCTGTTAGCTCGTAGTGCTCAGACCATTATCCAGCTGGATTCCAGACATAATGATGTGTTGCCTTCTACACCATGGAAAGTTACAGAGCTCAGCTGCAGGCCAAGCTCAGTTGAAAGTTTTCCCAGATGACAGGAACCTCCTCTCCCTTGCACAAATGAACAGCAACTGGAAATTCTAAGCCTCCCAGCTGGAACTTGGGGCTGGTAGCCTCCATGTTGAATTGCCCAGGGACCACAATGTGGAAAGGGTCTACACTAAGTTCTGCTTTGACTTTCTCTCAGGCTCAAAGTAGCCAGTGTGTGATGGGATTAGAGTACCCAGGTGACTACATTCACTCTTGTCTATTTCTGTCTCTAAATAAGTTGAAAGAAGGAGCTGAGACAGATGCTCTTCAAGAACCCTTTAGCTTCAAGGCCTGAAGATCAAGAGACCATTAAGTGTCAATTGTCATTTAAGGAGACTTGATCATATTTCTGCTAGTATAGTCAGATGCTTTTTACAAAGAAATCATGATTCCAATTTGCTCAAATCCTGATTCTTTGCAGAATGTAATTGGAACTTTTTGATTTAGAGTTCTACTCTGGTTTTTTCTTGTTGATAACAAGAAAAGAGAAAAAGGGGGACCATTTTGGGCAAGACAGCTTGTTACATACTTTCTCTTTCAGAAAAGGAGATTATATTTGAAAATGTGAAGTCATTATCTTCCCCTAGGAATTGTACATGAGAATTTTCTATACCAGAACCACATTTTTTTTTAAATTGTGCTTTAGATGAGAGTTTAAAGCTCAAGTTAATTTCTCATACAAAAATTTATACACATATTGTAATGTGACATTGGTTGTAATCCCTATAGTGTGACAGCACACTCCCCCTTTCCACCCCGAGTTTCTTGTGTCCATTCAACCAGTTCTTGCCCCTTCCTGCCTTCTCATCCTGCCTCCAGACAGGAGCCACCCATTTGGTCTTGTGTATCTGATTGAACTAAGAAGCACACTCTTCACGAGTATTATTTTATGTTTTATAGTCCAGTCTAATCTTTGTCTGAAGAGTGGGCTTCAGGAATGGTGTTAGTTCAGGGTTAACAGAGCATCTGGGGGCCATGGCTTCGGAGGTTCCTCCAGTCTCAGTCAGACCATTAATTCTGGTCTTTGTACTAGAATTTGAGTTTTGTACCCCACCTTTCACCTGCTCCATCTGGGACTCTCTATTGTGTTCCCTGTCAGGGCAGTCATTGATGGTAGCCAGGCACCATCTAGTTTTTCTGGTCTCAGGCTGATGGAATCTCTGGTTTATGTGGCTTTTTTGTCTCTTGGGCTAATACTTCCCTTGTGTCTTTTGTGTACTTCATTCTCCATTGCTCTAAGTGGGTTGGGACCAATTGATGCATCTTAGATGGCTGCTTGCAAGCTTTTAAGATCCCAGACGCCACTCACCAAAATGGGATGCAGAACATTTTCTTAATAAACTTTGTTATGCCAATTGAACTGGATGTCTCCCGAAACCATGATCCCCAGGCCCCAGCCCCAGCTACTCTGTCTCTCAAAGCGTTTGGTTGTGTTCAGTAAACTTCTTAGCTTTTGGTTAAGTCCAGTTGTGCTGACCTCCCCTGTATGTGTGTTGTCCTTCCCTTCACCTAAGATGATTCTTGTCTACTGTCTAGTTAGTGAATTCCCACCTCCTTCCCTCCTTAACCTTGTAACCATCAAAGAATGTTTTGTTCTGTGTTTAAACCTTTTCTAGAGTTCATATAATAGTGGTCTCATACAATATTTGTCCTTTTGAGACTGACTAATTTCACTAAGCATAATGCCCTCCAGGTTCATCCATGTTGTGAGATTTTTTTATAACCATCCATCTCTCTATCCATCCATCCATCCTATTAACATTTATTAAGCATCTCCAGGCCACAGTGCTAAAATCTAAGGATACGAGCGTGACTAGGATGCAGAGATAAGAGTATGAATATCTTTCTAGTGGTAGAGGTGATCACACCGTGGTATGACAATGCTAGAAAAGACGAATGAACACCGTGCTTTGAAAGTATAGAGGCAGGCACATTTAATTGCTCTTGGGAAAGTCAGGGAAGACTTATTGGAGAAAATGATATTTTCAGTTAGAGGAAATAGCAAGAGTAAAAGCACAGAGGCAAGAAAGAACCTGCCAAATCATGAGAAAAATGTAATTTGGCATGATGGGAGTAAAGAGTATACCTAAAAGTGATGGTAGGAGATAAAATTCAAAAGGAAGGTAGGGGCTACATTTAAAAAGCTGTGAATGTCTTACTAAGGAATTTATAGTCAAAAGTTTCTCATAGATTATTCAAAGATTCAAAGATACCAACGATTTAATGTTTAAATGGATTCCTGTTTCTTCTTAATATGTTTATTAAATAACGTACAGTGACATGTGTTCTACAAGATAAATCATACAGTTAATTGGAAGGGATTGTGTTCTCTTTTATAGTAATTTCTTGGCAGATAAAGTCTCATGTGTTTGGAGGTGACCGAGGGTGGAGATGGTCAGGGAACCCTGTCCAAGACACAGGTTGCATGCTACCCTTTGCACAGGCTTCTCTTGGTTTCAATCACTAAGTTCTTCAAGCACTTATCTCCAGATCATATGCTTTCCATCTTGCTCAAACGTTAACAACCACAGTAACAAACACCAAATATACAGAAGGACAGTGCAAAGGAAATGATTGCATCATGCAGAAAAAACAAATCACCATCATTTTGTAGCTCACTCTTAACTTAGTGAGATGGGGTGTCGATTCTGTCTTTTAGCTTCATTAATTTTAGTGTTTTCTAGAACTTCTCCAGCATTTAACTGTATCTTTCCAATAAAGCATGATAAGGTGTCAAGGAGAACACACCAAAGGTGCTGTCTTTTATCTTTTTTTTTTCCTTAATTCCGTGGCATTTAATAGGGGTTCAATATTCATTTCTTTAGTTAATTTTTATTTTATCATCAATAATGATTTGTTAAAGTGAATTAAACTGTATGGAATGAATCAGTTGATAAAAAAAAAATTTGCTTCCCAAATTACCTCTCATTCATTGTTTCATAATTCTTTCTGGAATTTTTTTTTTTTTTTAATAATAACATAGGCTCATGCCCTAGAAAGTGATGTCAAGAATGATCTTCTAGAACTTGCCTGCATGTGTAAGACCGTGGTGTGCTGCCGAGTCACCCCACTCCAGAAAGCCCAAGTAGTAGAGCTGGTGAAGAAGCACAGAAATGCCATCACTTTGGCCATTGGCGATGGAGCCAATGACATCAGCATGATCAAAAGTAAGAGGACATTTTCTCATAGGGGCATGCTAGATACAAAGTGTTTAGCATTTGGTAATATGCCATAGAGATTGCATTAAAATTGACTTTTGCCAGTGGTTCTAAAGTGAATGATACTTTCTGGGTCCAACACGTTGATCATTAGCATTTATCAAAATACCTCTTTGTCTTGAATTAAATCATCTGTGTATTTTCAGGCTAAGACAGAACATTGGTGATCTTATAAGGTTTGGGGAAGTAAGTCCTTATGGTGTAGAGGAAACCATGGATCCAGAGTCACAAGACTTGGGTTTAGTCCCAACTTTGCCATTTACAAATTTTAGAACTTATGTAAATCACCGAACTTTTCTGAGCCCAGTTTCCTCTTCGTAAAACTGGGATAAATACCTGTCATGAGTTTTTCATGAGATAGTATACGTGAAAAAACTGCAACTGTTTATAGCTGTAAGGTTTCCATAAATAAATAATAACATAAAAGTGGAATGACAGATTCCCAAAAGAGATTGTGTCTTTGTTTTAGGAATGAACGTGTCCCTCCTTTCCTTCGTAGGTGCTCACATTGGCATTGGCATCAGTGGCCAGGAGGGACGGCAGGCAGTCTTGGCCAGCGATTATTCATTTGCACAGTTTAGATACCTCCAAAGGCTTCTGCTTGTTCACGGAAGGTGGTCCTATTTCCGAATGTGCAAATTCTTATGCTATTTCTTCTATAAGAATTTTGCATTCACACTTGTGCATTTCTGGTTTGGTTTCTTCTGTGGTTTCTCAGCCCAGGTTGGTAAAAAGCTCTTTTCTTTCTTTAATAAGATCCCCTGAATTGCAGACGACTCTCGTTTATGGCTCTTTACTAACAGAGCGTTTTTAACAGTATATGATTACATAATTGATAGTTGACTTGAGCTTTGAACCCAAGAAAAATATATATTTAACTGGAATTTTATTTATTTTTTTCTTATTTACATAGTAATCAATGAGTACTCCTTCCCATGCATTTTTGAGTTTTTACTTGAATGTTTTGGAAAGATAACAAACAGGTAAGCTTAATGGAGAGTTTTAATTCAGAACAGAAGTCTAAGAAACACTAACGAGAAATTTTGAGGTGTCTCTGTGAGGAAAGTGGTCACTCACCCAACACGCTGAATGTATATTGGCTGAGAGTTAATGTGTTTTAAATCAAGGAGAAGTAAGTGATACCCTGACGTCAAGGTTGTTTTGACAGCAATTCATCAGGTAAAAATGGAGTTATAGATAAGGTTGGCAACAAGAAAGAAAATAAGCACATTCATGAGTTTGGGCTCTATTTTTATATCTACCCATATTCATTTTAAAGGAGAGTTGTTTAACCCTATATCTTAAATATTGGGAAAGTTTTGTCCTGGGTAGTAACTGTGAAATGTAAGATCTATAGCACTGAAAACCACTTATGAATAAAAAATAAATTCCACTGAAAACTTGAGTGTAGGTATACTATTAATATTCTGAACAACAACAACAAGAGAAAAAGGCTGTCCTTGAAAATGAAGTGGTAAATATAATGCTTATAAAGAATTCTTTAGTTGTCCTTCCTTTTGGGTTTAATCAATGATGCTGGTTTTAATGAATGCATGAAGCTAATTTTTTCAGTCACTTTAATTCCAGAAAAATTGAGTATGAATTAAAACTTGGCATTTTATATTATCTCAATGTGCAGAGATAGACTAATGAATTCTTACTGTAAGGAAAATATATTTTGTATATTTTTTTCCCTTTTTCTGGGAAGTTGAGATTTCTTAAAGTGAGGCACACCTGTGCCCATTCCTAATAACCTCTTTAAGGATAATATGCCCAGAACTAATAGCAGAATATGCTGATGTTTTTGCCCTTCTTGGGAATCTCTTGATAGTTTAAATAGAGCAGAGTCTTGATTTTAGCTTCTCAGAAGTTATCTTAGTGCTACTTCAGAGCAGCCATGGCAATGGGATACCTACCTGTTCACAGCTCCTCCTTTCTCCAACAAAGACAAGTATGGGAATGCAGCCTGTGTCTTCCTAGGGTGGTGACTATCCCTCCACGTAAGAACAAAACAGGGATATTTGCCAAAGATTTAAATTTCGTGTTGCAAAGGTTTGGGCTTAAAGAATCACAAAACTGTGAAGGGACAGCTTAACCCTTATTTAGCTGCTGACCTTTTAGTTAGCAGCTGAGCTCTTAACCACTGCATCACCATGCCCCTTAGACCTCTTAGAACCCTGAAAATAGTTTTTGATTTATATTTAAACACATCAAGCTAGATAGGCAGGTTTACCACCACCCAAAGTTGACTTCGTTGAAACTGTGAAATTGAAACTAAAGTTCAATGGCTTCTAACCTGTACGTTTGGGTGTTTTTCTGCTCTGCTCTGTGAATCTGATAAAATTGGCCAGAGTCAGGTATTAAGCAACTAGATTTTTAATTCTCTCGCCAGTATTTACACTTGAAAAGAGAACAGCGAGGGAGAACCGTGATTGCGACAGAGACACGAGGATCTGATGGTTCAATTCCAACTGAAGAATACACCACCCGCCTGTGATTAGGTTTCTGAAATGTTTGCTTTAACTCAGCCTGTTTCTTTTCTGTTTTCCTTTCTTCTCCTTTTCTATTTTTCACACTGAAAGCTCTAGTTAATTGCACAACCTTCATTTTGAATCTAGCATCAGTCCTGACCGGCTGTGTTCTTTCCTGTGTGGGTAAATTGGATTGGACCAGTGGTTCTCAACTGCTGGAGTGCACTGGAATCACCTAGAGGCTTGTTAGAGCTCAGATCTCTGGGACCATCCCCAGAGCTTCTGATGCAGTAGATCAGAGGTAAAGGCCAAGAATTTGCATTTCTAGTAAGTCCCCTGGAGATGCTGATATTGCAGATCTAGGCACCATACTTTCCCCATCCACTGGGTTGTGCAAAAGGAGTCCTGGTAGCACAGTGGTTAAGAGCTTGGCTGCTATGCTAGCTGGAAGGTCAACAGTCCGCCAGCCGCACCTTGGGAAAGATGTGACAGGCTGCTTCTGTAACAGAAAATCAGGTCTGTCTTGCTCTTTTCCCTGAACTTAGAGTGAAATCCAAACTGTTGACATTTTGTTTTGTCCATGCTGGATGTTATTCATCTTTTTAGAATAAAGGGACCAGTTTAGCAAATGGCTCATCCCTCAAAACCAAAAATTTCTAAAGGGCTTAGAATCCCCTCATCCCTCCTGTCAAAGCTATCATCCCTGAGGCTTTAGGACAGGGCCTGGATGAAAAGGGATGTCTGCTTCAGGGTAGAGGATTGCTTTTCCCACTTTACCCAGTGTATTATGATTAGCTAGCTTAACTATGAGTTCTTGAGAAAAGGAAAATCATCTATAGGGCTCATCATCTCGAATGGTATGTGGCACATGGAAGGCATTCTGTTCATTTCACGTTGTTGGGCGTTTCTAGAGCCCTGTCTTGTACTTGAGGCAAGTGCAGCAGGAAAGTCCTTTCAATACGCCAAGCACTCATGCAAGTTGCCGCTTACTCCACCAGCACTAGAGGCCGTGTATGCTGACTCCAGACGGACTCTGTGTAAATGTGTGCAGCCTGGCCCACACTGTGGGGACGGGGCTCCATGTCTTAAGATCTGAATGTGATTATGGCATTGATTCCAGAAGGTAGATTTTTTTTTCCAGTTGTGTTAATGTTAATATATGATGCCACAAGTGATGCATTTCTTTTTTTTTAATTAAATCTTTTTTAGTTGTGAAATTTTATTTTAGATCAGCTAAAATAAATGAAAGATGATACCCTTTTGCATCAATTTTTTGCAAACTTACAGGAAAAAAATTTGTTATTTCCATTTCTGAAAGAAGCCATGTGAAATGAATACAGTGCAGTGGTGACGTTTGAAATCTGGGTTCTAATTAAAGCCCTATCACTTATTAACTGCAGGAACTTCAGCATTTTTTATTTCTTAATTATTTGTACGTTTCTTCATTCTAGGAAAAAATATAAAGTGGATTTCCCAGGTTTATTTTGGGCTGCCTGGGTCTTGGTTGATTTGAATAGGGCAGGAGACATCCTCTTTAGGTAGGGGAGCATTTACCACATAAAACCATGTGGGCCTCTGAATTCAAGTCCTGGACTGCCATCCATTTTGCCCTCATTTTTAGGATGATTCGATCAAATTGGGACCCAGGCTTACGCTGGGCAGGATCCCTTGGCCCCACTACTTAAGGCTTCCATTCATTTGATAAATATTTACTAAGCCCCTACTATGTGTCAGGCTGTGGTGCCTCATGCAACCTCTATCCTGGGAAGGGAGGTCTAAGAGATGTGTTCTCTGTGGGCATGGTCAAGTGCAATCTCACACATTTTATTAGCTATCCACATTGTGGGGGGTTTAAGCCTCTATTTCCAGGCATGTCAGAGAAGCAGAGCTCATCTGCTGGTGGGGAGAGGGAAGCAAGTCAGCAACAGTATCCCTGTAATTGTGTCAGTACTGTGATGTCGGCTTCTATGTGGAATCATATTATTGATACTAACAAGGGAGGATAAAAACAAATTGCAGTGATAGCTGATACTTAAATAGTACTTTCTAAGTGCCAGACATTGTTCTAAATGTTTTACCTACGTTAATTCAATATTTACAGTAACCATATGAGGTAGGTTCCCCCACTTTACGGGTGGGGAAACTGAGGCACAAAGAGGTAAAGTGACTTCCCCAAGGTTACAGTGCTTGTGAATGGTGAAACTGGAAAGCAGATGCAGACAATCTGGCTCCAGAGTCCGAGTTCTTAACCACTGTCCTATACTGGTCTTCTCTTGCTGCTGCTGAGTGATCATGGGGGTCATGTGCTGTTCATGTGCCCTGATCCTGTATGAGTACCGTAAGTGCAGGCTGGTCTCAGACACCCCTGGGGCTCCTGGGGAATACTAACAAACACCTCCATTCTCGCTCTCATGGTTGCCTCGCACTTGGAGCTGTTGCTCTGTCCTTCTGCAGGCTCTCTCTTGACACATTGAATCTAAGAGCCTCAGGAGGCTGTTGCTGTCTTGTACCACTTTGCTTTAAGCATGGACATAAGCAGTGCTGTGCTAGAGTCTATACTGGTTTGCAAGAGCTGATTGCTAAATTCTGAGGAATTTTGTGAGCCAATGGTTAAATACAAGCCATTATTCTCTCACTTAATAATGACACAAAGCCATTATTAAAAATTAAATAACATCCTGGACAGAGCAGGAGAAAAATTCAAATTCACAAAAAAAGATCAGACTTACTGGTCTGACAGAGACTGGAGGAACCTCCAAGACTATGGCCCTGGATACCCTGCTAACTCAGAACTGAAGCCACTCCCAAATCCACCTTTCAGCCAAAGATTAGATAGTCCTATAAAATAAACAATAACACACGTGAGGAACATGCTTCTTAGTTCAATCAAGTATACGAGACCAAATGGGAAAATCCTGCCCAAAAGCAAAGACAAGAAGGCAGGAAGGGCCAAGAAAACCAGATGAGTGGACACAGGGAACCCATGGTGGAAAGGGGAGAGTGCTGACACATTGAAGGGACTGCAACTAATGCCACAAAACAATTTGTATATACATTTTTGAGTGAGAAACTGATTTGCTTTGTAAACTTTCACCTAAAGCACAATAAAATTAAAAAAAAAGTATGAGTCCCCCAAATTAAATTATATAAATGTATCATTTAAAGAAGTCATAAGAACAAAGTTAATAAATACTCAAAACATATCATTCCCTAGTTGTGTTAACACATTTGACTATTTATGCTCTTGAAGTTATTTGTATCTACTGGATTTGTATGGTGGAAATACTGCTGCATGTCTCTTCCCAAGTCCATGTTTACTGACATCACTGCTTGAAATTGGCCATGCAGGAATAGTCACACCACGGAATTTGGCAAATTTTATAAATTAGAGTTGTTGTTTTTCTTTTAAGAGCTAATTTTAAACATTTGCCTGCATATCAGTGGACACAGATCCTTTTTTGAAATCGTTACCACAGAGTTCAAATCAGACAATGAAACTAATAGGATAACAGGACTCAAAGAAAAATGGGAGGGAATTACCATGCAAGGAACTTAAAACTGGTTATTAGATACGGTTATTTTGAGTCACAAGCCTATGCCTCTTGATGGTGTTGGTGGTCCCCAATGTTACTGCTTTGCCTAAATCCTGTCTTGGTTATTGGTGGTAGAATTAAACTTTCCTGCCTAGTTTTGTCCTGCCCTCAAAGAGGATGACCTTCCAGAGGTCTTTCCTACATGGATTCCAGGCCTCAACTCTCTGAGATACACAGAGGGTAAAACAATTTCCTTCACCTATCTACCCCAATCTTCTTCTCCCCTCTTTTGATTTCTTTGACCCTAAGATTCATCTCCCCATAAGATGATTGACAGTAGAAATGTCAATGCAAAGCTCTCTATTTGAACCTGGGGCTGGGTTGACAGGTTCACTTCTGTATCTTCCTCTGAAGATTTTAGTGGATCCTTTGCTTAGCCCTTATATCAGATAATTGGACTCATTATGAGCCATTGAAAATGGAGAATGAAATAACCCACCACAGGGACCAGGGTCTAATATGTGTCTGGCATTTTGTTAGGTATTCCACATATATTATCTGGTTTTATCCCCACCACAGCTTGGTAGGGAGGGTATTGGCATTATTTTAGAGATGAAGAAACTGAAGTTTAGAGAGATCTAGCATCTGACTAAGATACCAGAGCTTGTAAGAGAAAAAGCCTAGGGGAGCACCTGTATCTATCTGACTCTAAAACCAAATTCCCACCCACCTCAGGAAACTGGGTGATTGATCCCAAGAGGCTGAAAGTGAATAGTCTCACTACTGTGGATAGTGTTTCTTACTGATATGTTTTCTTTTCAGACTGTTTATGACCAGTGGTTCATCACCCTTTTCAACATCGTTTACACGTCACTGCCTGTTTTAGCCATGGGGATTTTTGACCAGGTATGTGTTTTTCTCCATCATTATAGCTTATTTTGCTCTGTTGAAGTCTTTTGATTGCTTCTAGCTTCTAAGTAGAAGACATGATTCATGGGAAGAGTCTAGAAGTGCAGTTGTGTCAATGGGTGTTGGTGGATCACAAACTTCCAGATTCACTCTCCACAAAAGCTTATCGGATCAAAGTTTAGCTACTGTCATCTTACAGGTTCACACTCCACATTCTTGCTCTAAAGGCTCTAGGAAGTTTACAGTGAATAGTCTTTTTAACTTCATTTAGCCTAGCATTTCCCAAACTCATATGACTGCAGTCCCCCCGCCACCACCGTGTATCATCTATTAGTGGAATCCCTGGGTAGTGCTATGATTAACATGTTCAGCTACTAACTGAAAAGCTGAGGATTCAAGTCCACCAGAGGTGCCCTGGAAGAAAGACCTAGTAATCTACTTTTGAAAAATCAGCCACTGAAAACCCTATGGAGCACATTCTACCCTGACACACACAGGGTCCCCATGAGTCAGGATCAATTCAATGGCAACTGGTTTGGTTATCACCTATTAATATCTCTCAGAACTAGTGTCTCATGGTTCACACGCTGGGAAATGGACTCAGAACTAGTGTCTCATGGTTCACACACTGGGAAATTCTGCATTAGCCTCTAAGAGTTTGTAGAGAACCAGGCACTAATAGATAGAAAATCATGGAACTAGGTTGGAGGGCAGAGGGCAAGCAACTGCGGTGGGGTTTCCGTAGCCAACACAGCCCCAGAACAGTAACCACAGACAAGCACAGCAGCCTGCCAAAGGGAGAGGAGGACACGAAGCCCCCTGCCAGCCGCGGAGAGAAGGGCACAGAGTCTTCTTTTGTCTAGCATCAGTGTGCTTAAGAGGGGAGAAGGGAGAGAGTCGATTAAAAAATAGTTCATCCTTGACATACTCAGAGCCTTGGAAGGTACTTCCGGGAAGGGGAAGCTAGTCTGAATGCCCATGAGGAAGTGGAAGGCCAGCCAAGACGAGTTTCCATGGCACAATTACAGTGTTTTTTTTTTTTTTTTTTTTTTTAATGTTTTTAAGTATTTTTAAGGAGACCAGATTTTCTCCAGGCTGTTCTTAGACCCATTTTCTGGGCCCCATTTTCTGGCCCAAAGCCTTATATTGCAAAATATAAATCTTCACATTATGAGCTCATTCTGCTGTTCCATTCTGCTGGCTTTGTAGTCAGCTGTAAGCCTCATTTCTCGTATGTAAAAAAGGACAGTTTGTGAACAGCATAGTTTGTGGAGTTCTGCAAAAAGTGATGAACTCCTGAAGACCTTAGATGTAAAGGGTTAAGCATGTTCATGTCCAAGTGCCCGTGTTTACAAGTGTTTCTTTTCTTGGTGCTTTGTAGCTGCCCAGAATGTGGAATAAAATAATAAAAAGAAAGCAGATTCTGGGAAAAGATAGTTATTGTGCAATTTGAAAAAAAATATAATAAGGTCCCTGTTGCCATCAAGTTGAATGTCTCTCCCATCCTTCCCCCGCTGTCAACTTTGGCCCTTAGACTGACCACAGGACCATGAAATGCTATGCTGGAAGGGCCTCAGTGGTCATCTATGGATCCACTCATTTTATAATGAGGAAACCATGGCTCAGAGGTTCTAGTGACTGTCCTAAAATCACGCAGCTCATAAGTGACAGAACTAGGCCCAGTGTCCAGGCTACTTGACTTTGAGGTTGTTACATTTTTACTAAGGAACCATGGTGGTGCAATGGTTAAGTGCTCAGCTTCTAACCAAATGGTTTGCAGTTTGGATTCACGAGTCAGTCTGCAGGAGAAAGACCTGGTGATCTGCTTCTGTAAATCTATTACATGGGGTCACATGGCACATGTCTTTCTGAGTGGGAATTAACTCAACGGCACTCAACAACAATGATTTTACTATTATTATTACCATCATCTTTATTATATTTATTATTCTTTACAGAAGCTTCTATATTTATTACTTACTGTATGCCAAGAGTGGGAGAAAGATATGGCAGTTGCTTCCATAAAGATTTACAGCCTTGGAAACCCTATGAGTCGGAATCGACTCAATGGCAATGAGTTTTTATGTGCCAAGAACTCTGCTGAGTACTTTACATATGCATTTAATTATGACAGTGGTCCTGTGAGGGAGGTGTTATTGTCTACATTTTATAGATGAGGAAACTGAGGCTCAGACAGGTTAAGTAACAGGCCTAAGACTACACACTTGCTAGGCAGCAAAGCCAGGGTTTGAACTCAGGACTGTCTAGTTTCAAAGCCTGTGTACATAACCCCACCAGTCACTGGACTAGGGGAGGAAGCACCCCAACAGCACCTCAAAGCAAGACTTCTGAAGAGAATTTGCCCATGCTCTTCATGGGGCCCAGTTCAGTGAGACTTGTACCACCCACAAGCAGGAAGAGGAGCCTGATCTGTCCCTTAAGTTCACCACCTGTGTTGCTCCCACTTTGGCTGCATCTCCTCTACCCACGATTCTCCAATGTTCACGGTGGTCGATCCTTGGTATCCATTTTGGTTCTTGGCATTTGACTTTGGTGCTGCTCACAGGGTGATCTAGGGACCTTCAGCATCACTTGAGAGTTAGTTGGAAATGCAGAGTTTCAGGCTCCGCCCTGCACCTATTGAATCAGTATTTGCTCCCAGATGATCTATGTACACATTAAGTCTGAGAAGCGCTGCTTTAGTTTCTCCCAGGACCTGTTTAGTACCAAGTGTGATGCCTTCTCACTCAGTCCAAATTATTTCTCCTGAATACGTGGTAACTGCCATTGCAATTCTCCCCGGGTAGAACACTTAAACCCCAAGTCTTTAGTTTCAGCCCCCCTCCCACCTGGAATCTCACCTGGAATTTTCCCCTTCTCCTGTTTCTCCCTCCTGCTCACCTTCCCCCAAAGCTGGCAACTCAGACTTGCCCATTCCCACCCCACAGCTCTCTGCCTCCACCTCCTGGCCACTACCACTCCCTGCTTTGGCAGTTCACTACCAGGGCCTGCTGGTACACAAAACAGGCTGGAGTTCTGGGAGCATGCGTGCTTTTTAGGGGTGGCAGACTGCATGAGAGTATAGGAAAGAATCTTTGATTTGAAGTCAGATATCTGGGTTCAAGTCAAGCCAAGTACTTAAGTAGATTCTGTTATTTAACAGCTGTGTGACCTCTCATGACTCTCTCTGAGCCTCAAGTTCCTTGTCTGTAAAATAGGGATCATTTTATTATCTTCGGGGTTATTGTGGGACTGAAAACAAAACGATGACCTTGTTCTGGCTTAGTGAGAAGTGCACATTAAGCCATGCTTAACGAACCCACCTGCTGTTTCCGGAGACGTGGGTTACAAGGCTTCTCTGGTTTTCCTCAACTCGCCTCCCGCTGAAGTAACACTCTGTTTACAGGATGTGAGTGACCAGAGCAGCATGGACTATCCCCAGCTCTACAAACCTGGACAGCTAAATCTACTTTTCAACAAGCGTAAATTTTTCATCTGTGTGGCTCATGGAATCTACACCTCATTAGTCCTTTTCTTCATCCCCTATGGGGCGTTTTACAATGCAGCTGGAGAAGATGGGCAGCACATTGCCGACTACCAGTCCTTTGCCGTCACCATGGCCACATCTTTGGTCACTGTGGCCAGTGTGCAGGTAACCTTGTTGGTGAAAGCATCTTAACATGATGGATTTACAACTTTAAAAACCTCATTTCATTGTGGGCTGATTTTGTCTGTTAGTTAGTAAAACAAATAATCCTAAAGGAATGCTGGCGTTTTCTTTTTAACTACGTATTTTGAGATCGAAACAGGAAGCTTCAACATAAATTACCAGACCCGGGGGATTAGCATTAGAAGTCTATAACCTCCGTTTAGTAGAAACGTGACAATAAATCAGTTCTTTGGTTTGGGTATAACGTATAAAGAGAAATGATTATACTACTTCCTTCTTGTGTTCTAAGAAGAAAAATTTTCCAATAACAGAAAGAAAAATTCGTCATGATTTCTAGAAGACTTAACTTCCAGGTTTTATAGTGAGATCTAAAATATATTTGGCAATATATTTCTGTGGAATTATTCAAGAAGTACAATGTTATATCAGTCGCATATCTTAATCTCAAAATTCAGAGATGCTTTTCTGGTGGGGATGATTGTATATTTTCCATTGACATTCTTTCATCAGGCTTCTTGAGCTGTGTTTTCATTTCCTTTCAATGGAAATTGTGGACAACACCATTAGATATTGAGTTAGAGTGCACACAAGCTTTATGATCCATTAAGATCTGTAGCTCTGGGTGGATATGGCAAACAATGTGACCTCTATTTTGTTTTGTTACCTTTGGATTATTAAGCAAACTCTGTCTGTCTTATAGTTCCAGCCCGGAGAATTAGGTGATCTCCTTCTTGTCATCAGGGTACATTTCTAGTTCTCTGGATTCTTGTTCCAGGTGGAGAGGGTAGCACATAGGACGTGGTAATAGCTTATTTACCCTCAGGTCAGGCCTGTTACTTGATGCTCCAAGAAAAGATTTAGAAGGTAATAACTGAGATAACAGGCCAGAGTCTGAAGGAAAAAGCAACATTCTTCAAACTGTCCATAATATTATATGCTATGTAAGTAAGCACAATATGTAACCTGGAAAAAGCATTATAGGTATGATATATGACAGGCATTAAATTTTTAGTGTACTGGTCTTTGCAATTAACTTGATAATTTTTGGTTTATTTTATTTATTTATTTTTCATTTTAAAGAAATCTGTTAATATTCTTATATATCATCATCTTCTTCTTCTTCTTTTTTAACTGTTTCTTGCTCGTAATTTATTTTTTGTATGCTATCATTCCAGTGGAATTTCTGGGTGGTGCAATCAGTTAACACACTTGGCTGCTAACCAAAAGGTTGAAGGTTTGAGCCCACCCGGAAGTATCTCAGAAGAAAGGCCTGGTGATCTACTTCTGAAAAATCTGCCATGGAAACCCTGTGGAGCATAGTTATACTCTGAGACACATGGGGCGGGGTTATGATTTGGAATCTGCTCAATGACAACTTTTTTTTAAATAAATTTATAAGAATCATTGCTTACCACCATTTCTTATATTCTTTGTCTCCACTATTTTGAGGTCTTTGTTCTCATTTAATTTTTATTTGGTTGCAGTAATTCCTTGACTAATTTCTTCAGAAAAGGTTAATAGCAATTCTACTTTTGAGCTGAAAACTGTTTTTCTTTGGCTTTACATTTAAATGACATATTGGAAGGGCATAAAATTCTTGAGTCGGAACCTTTTTCATTAGAACTTTGTAAATGTTGTCACTCTATGTCCCAGCTTCAATGCAGCAGCTTGCTATTAGGTTGAATCTCTTTCCTTTGCAAGTAATATCTGCTCTGTCTAGAAGCTTATGTTTTATCCTTGGAGTTCACAAATGTCATGAGAATGTACCTTCTTTTATTAATTTGTTTAGGAGTTAAAGGCCCTCTTAATCTGAAAATGCATTCTGTTCTTCATCACAGAGTTTTCTTCTGTCATTTCTGTGACTGGTACTTCTCTATTCCTTGTTCTGCTTCTAGAATACCCATTATTTGTATTCTGGGGTCGACCTGCCATCTATGGATCTGACATCCATCTCTCATATCATTTTGCGCATGGTTTCCATTTCTTCAAGTTTTGCTCTCTGTTGTAAGATATTATTTCCATTTGTTTTTCTAACATATTAATTCAGTTCTTATCAGTGACTATTCTTTTTGGTTTCTCTATTGAATTTTAAAATTCAGAAATAATGCTTTTTTCTTCCTGAAATATTTTCTGTGATCTAATTGCATTTCCTCAAGAATTCTTTCTACATTTGTTGCTGTTGTCGTTATAGTGTAGGTCTGTCTGTTTTATTAGGAGCCCTGGTGGCGCAGTGGTTAAGTGCTCAGCTGCTAACTGAAAGGTCAGCGATTCAAACCCACCAGCCACTCTACAGGACAAAGATGTGGCTATCTGCTTCTGCAAAGATTTATAGCCTTGGAAACTCTATGGGGGCAGTTCTACTCTTTCCTATAGGGTTGCTGTGAGTCAGAATTGACTCGAGGGCAACAGGTTTGGTTTGGTCTGTTCTATTAGTTCTGCTTCAATAGGAGCCAGCTGTTCTTGTTTTTTTAGCCGACCTCTTGAATAGATTGCGTTTTTTTCTTTGTTTACTCTTACCCACACAGGTCAGGCTATTGGTATCTCTTGATGGTTGTGAACTGAAAGGTAGTAGAAGGTAAAGTCGGAGATGATGGTCTAATGTCTTGCAGCCAGGACTTTGGACGAGTTCATTCTGGTTTGAACCCCTGCTGAGAAATTGCATTTCTAACAAGTTCCCAGGAAATTATACATAAGAATCACCTGGGATTCTTGTTAAACTGTAGATTCTGGTTCAGTATATCTGGGGTAGAAATGCAAATTCTCAGCAGGAAATTTGTTAGAAATGCAAATTCTCAGCAGAGGTTCTAACTGGAAGGAATACTGTTGGAAGCCCTGCTTGCAGCTAAATATACTGGAAAACCAGCATCTCTGTGCTGTGGCCTGGATGACAGGGCTCCCTGTTCTCAGACCTCTTGAGGAGAGGAAAGGTTGTCCTCTTGTAATCCCTGCAGTTCATGCCCAAGGTTGCCAACATCCTTAGATTGGGGTGACATTTTAAAGGACAGTAAACTACAAGTGAGAAGTGGCAGTATGTGTCCATATACTGAGAGGAGTCTCTTTGATCCCCTTCGAGCAGCCAAAAACTCTGTGGTCTTGCCCTAGGTCTGCTAGAAATGCAAACCTTTGCTTGAACCACTTGGGTCCTCTGAGATACAAACAATGATGCCAGAAACTACTATTTTCTCTGGAGAATTTAAAGGTTCATATTCCCCAGTGGTTCCCTTGATTCCCCAGTAGCAGATGACTCTTTTTTTCAGCTATACTGCTACAACAGTGATTCGAAGAGAAAAGCTCTCTGAATATGCTCCCAGGTCACATGAATTCCAGTTTCTCAATTGTATGGCAAAGAGGATTAAGAATTTTCTTTGTTATTGTTTAAGTAACTTAATAGAAAGGATTATGAAAATGAGCTGAAATATTGATGAAAAATAGTTTATAAATGTATAAAAATGGTCCTATGAAAATTTATAAAATGTATAAAATTTATATACAGATTATAAAATGTTGCACTTGCTCATTACAGAATTTTTTTTTTTTCCAATAGAAAAGTTTTGAGAGGAATTTGGAAAATGACTTTGAAATAATAAACCACTCTGCTTTCTTATTTCTCACTTAAAAAACATTTAACATTTCATCTCCTGATTCTACCCCAACTTTGGCAGATACAGTAGATTGGCTGATGTCATTGTTATTAGGTGCCTTTGTTCCATATCTGGCTTGACAGATATAGATTCTAAAGTCCATTGTCTACCACAAATGATAAAGTTAAGTTAGTATCCCATACTGTGCAGAAACTGAGAATGCCAGCGGTTGGCCTGGCAGCTAAACAGGTGCAACTATTGGAGTTGAACCCAGCAGTTCTGGAGGAACATCAGACAGGGGTAGATTATCCAATAGGGAAGGTAAGCACAGTACTTATCTTGTTTACCAGATCATCTGTAGTGAACAATTACACGTTTTTCGCTACATTAAAGATTTTGCTTCTAGGTGTGGTTGGCACCCTGTTTCTCTCCCAATCTGACAGCACCTTCCTACAAAATCAAAACCTCTTTTCAAATTTACAGTCTCTGACAGGGGTGGATGACTCAGTAAGCAAGGTAAGCAAAGCACAGGCTTACTTGTGCATTCTTACTAATCTGTAGTGAAATTCTTTGGTACAGATGATCTGGTAAGTTAAGTACCATGCTTACCTTGCCAATTGGATAATTCTTCCCTGATCACTAAGTAAAATTATGCTGTTTTAGTTCTCAAAGATTCCCCCTTGGCATTTTTTTTTTTTTTTTTTTTTACAGATATCGCTGGATACCAGTTACTGGACTGTCATTAATCACTTGTTCATCTGGGGCAGCATTGCCACTTATTTCTTCATTTTATTTACAATGCACAGTAATGGCATCTTTAACATGTTCCCAAACCAGTTTCCATTTGTTGGTAAGTGAGGCCTACTGTCTAGTGGAGTCTAGTTTGGTGCTGCTATTTATTCATCTTTATATCTTATTTTCTGAGTTGTATGGGGGCTGAGGATGACCAATGATTCCATCTCTAGGAACTGATTGAGCCAGGCATCTTCAGACCTGAAAAGGCCCCAAAAGATTAGTTTCTACTGTCCCCACCAGATGCAGAAGAATCTTTGTGATAGCAGCTTGTGGGTTTCCAAATGCCCAGGTATAGTAGGCTATCCCTTTGTGAACAAGGGGCATAGCATATGCACGGGGCTTCCTCATTTGTTCATGTATAATAGAGGGAAGATAAAGAACTCTAGAATCTCACTTTTATGCCAGATTATCACCAACATCTCAGCCAAAGTTCAACCGTGGAATTTACTTGCATTTAATTTCTCTGCCTTAATATATTCAGTTGTAAACTAGAGATGTTAATAGTTCCTATTTTCATAGAAGTTTTGTGAGGATTAAATGAGATGATGTATGATAAGAGCTTAGCATGTAGCCTAACACATAGTACTTTTCAATAAAGGTTAACTATGGTAATGAAGATTGTTATTATTCAAATAAATATAGCTTGATTACTAGTTGAGAACATTGTGGAGGATTTATCAGATGGGTAGCAAAGAGCCTTAAAATCCTTTAAAACTCTGAGATTCTATGATTCTACAAAGAGTGTACATCTTCTTCTACAAAGAGTACATCTCTGCACTCCACATTTCAAAATGATCCCTAGCAAAGGTCATTATGCTTGATACAAGGGGGTTATTAATATACTTCCTTAGAAGTTTGTATGTGTGAGATACATTGGTAGGAGTTACGTTTCTGAGTTCAGCCCAGCAGATTGTGGAAAAGGAAGATGCAAAAAGTCAACCTTCTTGAGCTTAATTAGGCAAACTTGATATATTTTCATCCACCAGTTGGGGAAATAGGAGCTCTAGTGGTACAGTGGTTAAGCGCTTGGCTGCTAACCAAAAGTTCAGTAGTTCGAACCCACTAGATGCTCCACGGGAAAAAGATGTGGCAATCTGCTTCCATAAAGATTTACAGCCTTGGAAACTCCATTAGGTAGTTCTGCTCTGTCTTATAGGATCCCCATGAGTCAGAATCAACTCAATGGTAATGGATCTTGGGGTTTTTAGTTGGAGAACCAAGTCTAGAAAAACAATTGTTAGAAGATCAATTCATGTGGAAAGCGAAGTAGGAGCAATAATTTCCATTGATATTAAGGCACTTAAGATTGTAATTCCATTTAAATGCACACATACACTTAAGAACATTATTCTTCAACTTTTGCCTTGCCCTATACGTACATAGAAATCTTTAAATTGCACCATTCTTACTAAATATGTAATAGTAATACTTTGTTTATGAAAGATTCCAACCATGTAAAGACATGTTGTTATGAACAAGAATAAGCATATTAGAAAAGGCATAAAAACTATTTTTAAGTTTGTTTGTTTTTTAATTATTGTTTCCAAATCTGAAAGTTCAGTGCATTCATCAGAAGACTTCCAGTCCTAAGACCATTCTAACAAGCATAATGAAACTGGAACTTCTTGACTGGAGAAAGTAGTTTGTGTGGGGCCACTCTTTCCAGCAAAGCACATGCCATTTCAGGAATTAATTACTGAGCTCCAATGAGACTTTTCAAAAGTTAGATCAACACTGGGGTTTAGGAAAAAAAAATTTTTTTTTTTTTTCTTAGCAGCCAACAGCAAGCAGGAGTGTGGTTTTAAAGTGTAGCTTGTTTTTCCAGCCATGCCTGCGGGCACTGAGATTCAAGGAGCTCAAAGAGACATTTAATTTATTGACTCAAGTTTGTTTCTGCCCATGTCAGAAGGCGACTGGAATCAGCTGCTCTTTGGTAGGCAGATTTCTACCCTCCAAAGCCTGGGAAAGCAGACATATCAATTAGTACCCAAACCCTCATACCCAAAGCCTATTTGAATCATATTAACACTTTAGCACTGGAAGAAGGGACCTAGAAAATTCTGGAGGTATCATATGAATCCCGAGAAAACAACAGAGACAAATGGTATTCTGGTGATATAAGTAGGGTTGGGATTTTCCATGGAATATGTCTGACTGCTTTATTGACCCTTATTGCTTTATTTAAACCAACATTGCAATATATGAAGTGTGACTATAAAGTAAGGAAACTGGCTTCAGGCTTGTGGGATGGCTGTTCCAGTAGTCTCCCAGTGAGGGGCATGCTGTTTTCACAAGCCCAGGGGCATCGCTTATCTCCTTGGAACCCTGACGAACTGAGTGAACATTAGGGAGATCAGTAAGTCGCTTTGTCGCTTTGAGGCAGGTTTTCTGGAGTTTAAGTTTGACCCTGCAGTAGCTGAAGCTTAGCCTTATGACATAATAGTCAACAAGACCATTATATGAGATTGTACCTGCATCCAGGATGTATACTGTGCAGTTTTGATAGGATATTTTTTATTCAAGAGTCAGTAAATGTGCCTTCAACGTGATTGATGTAATTGGTCTCACTGAATTGTACACGTGAAAACTGTGGAGTTGGCAAATGTTGTGTTATCTGTATTTTTTACAACAAAAAAAAGTTAAAAAAAGAATAAATGTGCCTTTCAAAATTAATGGTTGATTTGTAGCCAGTGAGTCTTGAGGCTGAATGAGAGAATTATGCCCCATGAGTAAAGCCTGGGTCAGAGAATGCTTGGCTTAGGCTGGAAAACCCGAAGTGATCAGGTCACTAAGCAGCTCCCAAAGGGTGATCTGACCACTCTTGCTTTCTCCTTCTTACCACTGAACATACTGGGAAAATTCCCAGTGGCTCTCCTAGGTAATCTAAACCTCACAATTTCAAAAAAGTTCTTACAGGAGTAGACAAAGAGCCTATTAATTTAATAATTCAGACCTATTTATGACCACAATGTATGTTCTTTTTTAATGATAGGAAATGCACGGCATTCCTTGACTCAGAAATTCATCTGGCTTGTTGTTCTCTTAACGACAGTGGCTTCAGTTATGCCTGTGGTAGCATTCAGATTTTTGAAGGTGGATTTATACCCAGCCCTGACTGATCAGGTATGTTACAGTGCTCATAAGTACTTTCTGGGCTGGTTCTTGGCTGTTGGAATGGTGTCCTTCTCTGCCTGATTGGAGAATGACTGCCCAGGGAAGGACTAATGAAATGTCCATCATCAGGTGCATGGCATCACATCAGAGAATATGAGACTGCCCACATCTTCAGTGTGCTAGCCCCGTGAGTGTAAATGAGCAGAGGTGCCTAAACTAAATGTGGGTGGAGAGTTATAAATTAGAAGTTAAGTTGGGTATTTGAAAAGGTTGATTTTTTAAAAAGAAGCTCATCATTTTGGACAATTGTTTCAAGGCAAGGGCAAGCTGTAGGAAAGTTATTGACTTCAGATAAAAGGCACAGTAAAAGAAAGACATGTATGGTACGAGGTAAAGGGGCTCTAAATCCCTGTTGAAATATAGGAGCAAATTCAGAAACATGGAGGAGGTGTGTGACCTTCTAAACAGTTTAAGAAAAGGAACAGCAACATCATGGACAGATTGAAAAGAATAAAGTTAGAAGTACAATAGAAAGAACAGATTATAGGAATACCTAAGTCAGGAAATTAGCAGAATATATTTCAATATTTCAGGGGAAAAGAAGTCAGCAAGACAATGTCAGGGTAGATAAGGACCCAAATGCAAAGAGAAAATGAGAAAGGAAAAAATGGGGAGACATGCATTTGTAGCCATATCATGAAAAGTGGAAAAACATTGATGAGGTGAGTGACCAGGTCCATGAGACTAAGAGGAACTGAGGTAGAACTTTCTTCATCATGATGTCCCTCACATTCTGGGACCAAAGTATGAAGAGATTCCTTTTGACATGCTTCATGGAGTCTCCTCTCATACCTGTCCTCTCCCTTTGGCCCCATGAGCTGATTCTTATGTAAACCCAGTAAAATGATGGGTGAGCTGGAGGAAGGAAGATGACATTTATTTCTTCCTATGTTGAGTTAGACCATGATTTTCTGCTTAATGGCTTTCTTCTGACACAAAAGTCAGACTCCAAGAGATCCCCCAAATCAGAGAACAATGGGTAGTTGCACCAAACCTGAGAGTTTTCCCCTCAATTTTACAGTAAATGAAAGGCATGTTGAAAATCCACCCAAATTATGTTGGGCCCTTCAAAAAGCCACAAAAAAGAAAGAAAGAAAGAAAACAAAACAAAACCCCTGGAAGTCTTCATGGTACATTGACCTACCACAAGAGTTGGAGATTTCTGGCTCTCAATCTTATTTCTAAATTTTCTCCTAGTCCAGTTACTAATAACTATTGGATCCTAAGAACCTCTGAAAGAGAGGAAAAAAGACCTGTTTTGGAGGAATGAGACTAGAAAGTGTTAGAAACTGAGTTTGGGTGGTGCGTGTTAAAAAATATTTTTGTATGAAAGCATGTTCCAATTCATTTAAGATGGATGTATGAGATAGAGACAATAATGAAATTTGTCTTAATGCTTCTTGTTTATTTAATAGTCTCCTGGTAGGAATAAAAATTGATCAGTTTCCAGTGTAATCTTTTGGTAGAAAAGGTCTTCCATTTTAGGTAAAAAGCTTTCTTTTGCAATGAAGGTGAATGTTTTGTTATGGTTGACACTGTTTTTCTAGAAAGGCTTTCAATTTACAAAGTGATCCACAGCCTGTAGTCTATTGCTGGGATGCATCACCTCACTCTGGCTCTACTTCCTCCCCAGATCCGCCAGTGGCAGAAGGCTCAAAAGAAAGCAAGGCCTCCAAGTAGCCGAAGGCCTCAGACCCGCAGGTCAAGCTCAAGAAGATCTGGATATGCTTTTGCTCACCAAGAGGGCTATGGAGAGCTTATCACATCTGGAAAAAACATGCGCGCTAAAAATCCAACCCCAACATCAGGATTGGAAAAGACACTGTATAATAGCACTAGCTGGATTGAAAATTTATGTAAGAAAACCACAGACACAGTGAGCAGCTTTAGCCAGGATAAAACAGTGAAACTTTGAGTCAAGATGAATTTGAACCACACAGTTATCTTTTCACTTCAGCTGGAGCTGAAATTCAGCAGACTCCAGAGTTTGGGATCAGGGAATGGGGTGAGGCAGATCACCTCACTTCACTTAAATCTGTGGCAGACAGATTTGATGGTGCCCATCAAGAAGCAGAGTTGCGCCGAAAAACCAAATCAGATGGTCCCTGTCTAGTTCTTGGTTTTTATCAACCTAGATACCGTTGACCCTGAACTTCAGAATCTCATTTTTGGAGAAAAACTTGTAAATCTGCATATACATTGACTGGATCCTCAGGTGTGTTCCAAAAGCAAATATACCAGCTGAAAATGATGCTTATTGAGAGATAAACACATATATATATATACAAGAACAGCCTTTTCCAAGGTACACTTCCAAGATTTAAAATGTGTACTAAGGTGCTTTCAGACTAAGAACAGCTTGTCACTCACCAGTCTTGATGTCTCCCTATCTGCTCAGTCAGGGCAACAAGTCACCTTCATGCCTGAAGAATAGAAAAGCATGCTGGTGGTCCTCGATTTTCTATTAGTAAATAAATCTCTGGGGGAAGAGTAAATGGAGAGCATCTTTACATTAGAGTATGCTGGTAATTTGGTCGAATTTATTCAAAAAGCTCTCAAACTCTCATTTAGGGACATTCTCACAAAATGTCAAAGAGAAACTCTCTAACAAGTATTCTACATACTTCTCGATGACTTTTGTAACAGCCTCAGTAGTAATTTCCTAAGCATCATCCAGAGCCATTGATAGAATCAACAAAGCATTGGGATTTCACACTTTAATGATAGCATTCCACACAGTCTATGGTTGAATACTTTCAACATTTCCAATTTTAAAAAGTTAAGATTTGAAACCAAACAAATTAATAAGAAATCTCTTCAATTACTACTTAAAGACTCAGGTTTAGATCATTTAGAGTTAGTTGCTTTTGATAACCAACTGCCATATTTATAATATAAACATATAAATATATGAAAATGAGGTTGAGTTTTAGAGATGATCCACCCTAACTTTTAAGACCGCTTATAAGTCACCAGTTTATTTCCTGTAAAAGGATTCAGGAAGATTTGTGTTCAAACCCCACTCTGTCACTTATTACCTCTATAACCTTGAGCAGGTAATTAAAGTACCTTCTCTGAGCATTGGGTTTGTCCTCTATAAAATAAGACTATACTACCTACCTCATATGATTGAAGATTGTCAAACCACAATCTCAAATCATTAAAAATATAATTCTCATACAAATAGATGATGAGTTAAGTTTCATTTCACTCATCATCAGAATAATTGAGTAATTTGAGTATGAAGAACTGGAATTTAAGTAATTAATAGAGAAAGTCATGATAAAGTATGATTGCCAAGTAAGATATAAAACTAGTTAGTGTTCTATGGGGCAAAAAACTATAATCTTTGAGGTGAATTTCTCCACCAGAAAACAAAAATAAATCATACTTTATCAGTTTTCTACAAGTCAGCCTCCAACTTTACAGGATCCCTAACCTGGTCCCTCTTAAATTATTGGTCAAGGTTACATTTCCCAAGAGAGTCAGATGACCCTTGGGTGGGCTTGATGAATGATGGGCTAGCATGGTATTAATTAGTTGCACAATAATCATTTTTCCTTATTTCCAAGTTTGGGAATGGAACCCTGAATTGGATCAACTGAGGTAAGATGTGAAAAAGAGCCTAAGACAGTGCTTTAACCATAGTAAATGAGCATAGATCATTCCCTTTTCCCCTACTTCTCTGCCTAGATTTGCCCAGATGGTAGTTTTCAATGTGTAATTTGTCATTAGTTTCACTGTGTTTGCTAGCTTTTTGTAACATATTTGAAATATTTGAAAACTTTTGGTAAATGTTTTGGCACTACTGGTGTTTGATGTTTTGTCTCTTCTTTATTAGAAGTCACTTGGGAGAGCTTTTGTGACATTGGTCAACTGATTTTGTTGTTGTTGTTAATCTACTCTTTGCATGCCTGGGGAAAATGTCTATCATTCTTAGGATTAGAGTTAAGAATAAAATGAACAATTGGATCTGTGTGTAAGGGATGGAAAAGATTAGGACTGGTCCAAGTTTGAAAAATCAGTTATGACGAAATAAGGCTGTTTATAAACCAATAACATGGGATGATTGTAAGAGAAACACTTTATCAACTTACTTTGGCCCCTTGAGATCCGAATAAACTCACACACCCATTTTGAGATCGTTTAGTTACAAATGCCAGAGTTTATTTTGAACCTGAAGATTGAAAAGGCTGACTAGTGGGCAGTGATGGGGGTACACTGGGGAAATAATAAAACTTTAATATTACATACATGTTATCAGATTGTTTGGAAAGACTTTTTTTTTTTTCCCCCTAGTTTCAGGATTTAATTTGGTAATCTTGGGATTTTCAAGTCTTAGCCTGAGTTTTGAGCTATTATAGGCATTTATAAATTGTATTTCTCTGATGTAGATCTGCTATTTTTATCCTTCTCATTTGCCTTCAGGTATACATACCTATGAAGGAAAGAAAAAAGAGAAGTGTAACGGGAAAGAAAAAGAAAAAAATAGAGGGAAGGAAGCAGGGAGAGAGAAAAGAATTTCCAGTTTTGTATCTCTTGAGGTGATGTGACTCTCTGAAAAATAAATTTAGTCCCTCAAAGGAAAAAAATTAGGTTGTATTTGAGACTTAAATAACAAAGCTTTCTTCATATTTAGTGTGTGATCAAGGGAACCTTACAGGAAAGGGGGCCAGGAGCGCTGGCTTGCCATCCAGCAATGCTGCTACTTTGTTGAGCTGGGCCATGCCACCTGACTTCTTCTGGCCTCAGTTTCCTTATCTATCATTGGCGAAATCGGACAGGATGGCCTCTAAGGCCCTTCCTCATGCGCCCACTCTGTAAGCTGTTCTTGCCAGCATTGTCTACTATGTACTTGCAATTGTTTTTGTTGAGAAGGGGAGAGAGAGAATCGCATGCTCATTTGAGGGCAGGGCCTGGCTCTTGCCCTTGTTTGTATTTCTCTAGAACAGTTTCTGGTATACTGCTGTCTCCAGTCTCTCACTCACCATGGAAGTGCCATACCCTGTGGTGGTGCTTTGTCTGGGTCAGGTGGACACACTCAGTTTCTTGCTAACAATTTACTAAGATTTTATCTCTGCACCCTCCTCTCCTTTCTTTTCCATGGTTTTAAAAAACAGGAGTATACAGAAATATAGTAAGTTACTCATGCATGTCCTGTAAGAAGACGATCATTTTAAAGTCCCTTCTACCCTGACTGGAGCCCTGGTGGCACAGTGGTTTAAGTGTTTGGCTGCTAACCAAAAAGTCAGCAGTTTGAATCCACTGACCACTCTTTGGAAACCTTATAGGGCAGTTCTACTCTGTCTTATAGGGTTGACTATGAGTCGGAATTGACTCAATGGCAATGGGTCTACCCTGACAGTAAGGAGCCCTGGTGGCATGACAGTTAAGCCCTCGGCTGCTAAATGAAAGGTTGGCAGCTTGCACCTACCCAGCTGCTCTGTGGGAGAACAACCTGGCCATCTGCTCCCATAAAAATTACAGCCAAGAAAACCCTATAAAGCAGTTCTCCTCTTGTCACATAGGATCCTTGTGAGTCAGAATTGACTCAGTGGCACCCAACAACAACATCCTGACTCTGGGCTTAGAGGAAATTCCTTGGCCCTCAGCCTCCTCGGGATTCAAATTGAAACAACAGAACCTGAGCAATTTTCTTCATAGCTGCAGAGAGCTTTTATCACTTCTACACAAGCTGTATTGTTTGAGTTTTACAACAGCTCTGTGAGGTAGTCAGGATATTCATGTTATATACATTTTAGGAAGGGGAAATTGAGGCCTAGAGAATTAAGTTCTTTGCCCAATATCAGAAGTAACTAGAAGGACTGGAACGTGCTCAGATCTGGTACCAAATTCAGAGCTTCTTACCTGCAACTCCCCATTCCACTTCAAGCGCTCTTCATAGACATGGAATTTCTAAATAGCTCATTCTCCTTCTAAAACATTCATTTGACTTCTCAAGTGTGCAGATTCAAGGAAGAAGAGCAAACAAATGTAAAGCATTTGAAATCTATGTTTCAGGTGTTCTCTTTCTCCCTCAGTGCAAATAACCACAATTCCTTCCCTCCCTCCCTTCCTTTCTTTTAGCATTCCGTGCAATCAGATGAGTGAGGAGTGCAGCCCAGGAGCTAAACATGCATCAAACTATTTAAGAAAATTACTAGAAAATAGAGCAAATCAGCAAAAGCCATACTTCTGATTTTTATAGTAAGAAATAGCTTTATTCTGTTAGGGTGTGCACAAAATGCCTTTCTAGACTGATATGATGTAATTATTCTGTATCAGTTAAATCACTCAGAATTACTATTTTAAGTTAAAAAAAAAAATAGGCAGAAAGTTGAGTAGAGGAAAAAGCCAGAGCTGATAATGCCTTATGGATTTATGATGGGCTTTTACAGGACAGGAGTCAGATAACCACTTGGGACCACAATTTTCCAATTTTTACATTAACATCTGGTGTTAAATGTTGGCCGTTGGCTCTACTGCGTCACATTTCATTCCTCAGTGAGAAATCATAAACTTTTGCAATTCTCTAGCCCAAGCATTTCATGGATCTGCCTGGAAGCCAGAACTAAATGACCCATGTGTTTCAAAATGCTCATTGCAAAAGACTTGGAGGGCCTTGCTGGGCTAATCTGTAGGTCTGGAGCTATGACTTAACCAGGAAAGGGGCCTATCTGTCCTCACATTTCAAAACTTCCTGGAAGATTTGTTCCTGTAACTCGTGCAGAATGCAAATTAGCTTGGAGCTACGTACGGAAACGTTCAGAGTTCAAGAAATAAAAATGATTAGTTGGCCAGAAATTCCTGGCTACATCAGTTCAGATCCCTCTAAGTTTTATTAGGACTAGTTTAAATTTTTAATAAACTACAGCCCTGGGCTTCTATAGAAAAATCTTATTGAACTAAAATGTGTGGAGAAATGATAGTTACTTAATTTTGAAGTAAAGTAATGATCAAGGAGTAATCTGGTCCCTTCACACCTTGTTGCTACAAATGCTTCAACGTTCCCTGCCTCTTTCTAGAGCAGTGATTACTGAACATACAATGTTTCCTTATGGTTGACCATTTCACTTCCGGTCCCCTTTCCTGACTATCTTCTCAGCATGCAGCACTATATGGATATATAAGTACAAAGTGTTGTACAGAGATTGGACAGAAATTATATTGACTCTAGAACAGCCTCAGAAAACATTTTGAATAAAGTTCTTATTACCCAACTTTCTTGAGATGATATCACTTTTGTTAAACGATAATTAAAGAAAATTAATGTGGATCATGATTAGGTGGTTGGGGGAAATATTTACATTTATTTAACAATCAGTTCGAAAGTGACATTGACCAATAAGAATGGATCTAAGCCATTAACAAATGGCACTGCCCAGCTGCTGATGCCAGCTGACTCAGCCCTGTCTCACCACATCGAAGGCACACAAGAAAGCAATACCTGTTTTCTTTACAAGGTTCCTACTTGGTCTGAGGAGTCTGTGGATGGTGAAAACAGTTAACTCACTTAGCTGCTAACCGAAAGTTTGAAAGTTCAAGTGTGCCTGGAGGTGCCTTGGAAGAAGGAATGGTAATCTACTTCTGAAAAATCAGCCACTGAAAACCCAATGGAGCATCAGCTAGAAGGCAACTGGTTAACTGGTCTGAACTAAATAAAAACAAGATTTTTTAAGTCAAATCATCCATAAGATACCACAGGACAGGTCAAGATATTTTCTTGGCATTGCTTTGCTATACCAGCTAATAGTTTATGTTTTGTAAAGCTATATGATGATGTGTTTTGAATAACAGTAATAGTTTCTATCTGCATTATATTAATGTCAAAATCTCTTCTGGTATTGTGAATGGTTTCTTATCTGTACAAGTTACTGATATTATTAATTCATTTTTTTAATAAATAAAATACATATAAATAATTATCACTCAAGAGTTTGGAGAGCTTAGTTAAATTTAGGGGACTAGAGAAATCACTGATTGGCCGGACTTTGGTGTGTGGTCTCTTTCTTTCTCAAAGTGCTCAGTGTAAGGTTCACACAGAGCTCACATCTAGTAGACATTTCATCATCTCTGCCACAAACCTGGCACTACAGGGCGAAGCACTGAGCGTGTAGAGGTGCGAGTACAAGATAAGCAAGCTCCTATTCCTGCCATTGGGGAGGTTCTTCCTAGTGTCTCTCTACTGTGCAGTCTGCATAATGTATTTCATTGAATCTCAGATGCCATCATTTGAAAGATGCATCCTTATTTTATATACTAGTTGAAAACAGAACTCACTGCCAATTAGAGTTATAAGGATGCCATTGGATATAAGACTTATTCCCGATTTCAGGGATGTTGACACACGAAATGTGGTAAACAGTGGATTGTAGGAAGTTGAAAAATGACTGGTGAAAAACGAAGGCAGTCAGTGGTGGCTACTTTTTTAAGAAGTTTGATGGCAAAGGAAGGAGACAGAGGGGGACCATATTATGAATAGTTATTAGGGGAGAAGAAACATTTTTATTCTTTAGGATAAAAAAAAAAAAAAGAAATGTGATGACCTCTATTGAAAGCCAAGGAGAAGGGAGAACCTGGAAAGGCATGAGGCCCCAGGGTGGCGCAAATGGTTAAGTGCTTGGCTACTAACCAAAAAGTTGGTGGTTTGAATCCACCCAGAGATGCCTCAGAGGAGAGTCCTGGTGATCTACTTCCAACAGATCACAGCCGTTGGAAATTCTATGAAGCAGTCCTACTCTGAAGCACATGGGGTCACCATGAGTCGGAATCAACTTGACAACAATTGGTTTGGTTTGGTTTGGCTTGGAGACACAGGAAACAAGGGAGCCCACTCACTGGAGAACATTTCAGAGAGACTTTCTAAACCAATTATCATTGGTTCCAGCTCATGGGGACCCCACGTGCGCCAGAGGATAACTGTGCTGCGTAGGATTTTCAATGGCAGAGCTTTCAGAAGTAGATCACCAGGCCTTTCTTCCAAGGTGCTTTTGGGTAGACTTGAACCCCCAGTGTTTTGGTTAGCAGCTGAATGCATTAACCATTTACACCACTCAGGGACACCTCCCAGCCCACAGACAGGACAAATAACCCCCCAGGACAGCTCCCCAGGACCTCATGGATTTGTCCTCTGCTGAGAGAGCGTCACTTCCTCCATAGGTCCCTGCTTCATAGCCCGTGGAGCCCCTGGGATTTAATTGGCATCGTACTGGCGAGTTAACCTGATTAATTTACTTGTATCTTATTTTCTGTGGGAAAGTCCTTACAAAAAGAATGAGAAAGCTACTTATTGATTGGTTGGTTTATCAGTTTTACAGAGGAAGCAGAGTGGTGTGTGATCAAGCACCAGGGCTCGGGTCAGTAGCTTGGGTTTAGTTACACCCCTTAGGGCGAGTTTCTTAACCATCACTTCAAGCTCTACTTTTCTTGCACGTGCAACTGGAATAGTAATATTACCTACCTGGAATGGCTCCTGTGAGGATCAAATGAGATAATGCTTGCTGTAAAACACGTGTCGTAGTGCCTACCAAACCTAAACCCATTACCATCAAGTCATAGTGCATAGCTCATGTTAAAAGCTAAATAAACATAAGCTGTTCCTGCTAAAAAAGCAACCACAGCCACTTGCCCCTGAGGAGATTTAACAAGACTTTGCTTTGAAATTTTGGGCTCACATAAGTTAGAGATAGCTGGTTTGTCAGAAAGAAGGAGGAACTCTGGGGGTTGAAAAGGGGTCCCAGTGACTGAATGCTGGAAAGATCTGGATTTCTCCAGACTAGAGATAAAGGAGTGGCACTTTCCACTTGCCTCCCAGCACTCTGAGAGTTGGCAGGTGGCAGGACATCTGAATGCCTGGGGAATGATAAGCAAGCACCAAGGCCTTCCAAGCAATGCCTTCTGCTCCTTGTAATTTAGCCTGTGGCTGTGTCTATATATGGAAAGCTGGACATCAACGGTGGCAACAAGGGGGCCTTGGAAACAATGGCATTCATCAGGGGCTAGAAGTCCCTGGATAATGCATATGGTTAGTGCATTCAACTGC